TCTCCTATTCCCGTTATGAAGATAAAAAAAAACTTCACTAAAATCCAACTCAATATAGTAAACATTAGTAATAAAAATTAATTAATTAATTAAGGCATCTGATTAGAATTAAATGATAAAAAATTATTTAATATTTACTTATTAAATCAAATATCAATTATATTGCAGATAGTTTTTTTAATCTTAGAGAGTAAGGTGGTGTTTGTTTTCACTGTTTAAGGTCTTCAAAGCTCTTATGTCTGCGCTGCGCAGACCACGCACAGACATTAGGCTTCGCAGACCGTTTGTTTTTTAGAAAACATAAGCTCTTCTAACGTATGTGCGTGGTCTGCACGGCACAGACGTGGTTTAAGGTCTTCAAAGAACCATTTTTGCTATTTAATTTTTTAAAAATTATAAAATGTCATTAAATTTAATGAATTATTACAAAATAGTCACTATAATGTTGTAATAAATTATAAAAGTTCGATAATATAATAATTATTTTATAGCATTTAGATAAATTTATTAATAATTTTATAATCTTTTAATAAATTTAATAAGTATTTTATAATTTTTTAAACTTTATTGACGAAAATGATCATTTGTATATAACTCAACGATATCTAATATACTTTATTTGAAAAAAATATATTAAACTTAGTAAAAAATATTATACAATTAAACTTAGTAAATGTTTTTTATATAAAAACTTAGAAAATCACGGGAACATACAATTATTAGCATTAAAAGACAAAATAAATGTTTTAATAAAAAAATATTCACACAATTGAAAAATCTGATTCTTATCATTTAATTCTAGTAAAGTACGAAAATCCCTTTATACATAATAAATAAATAAATAACAAATAATATATTTTTTCTAAATAGAAAAATACTAATTGATGTATATTATATGGAGTATATATTATATATATTTTTTGATGTTACTAGAATCGGATTGTACCACTCGAATAAATTAAGATTATTTAAATTATATTATAAAATTGAGTATTGATATATTTGTGAATCGATAATAATTGAGAATTAAAATATAATTTTTTTAACAATTATTTAAACTGAAACAAACAGATTAAATTAAAATCAAATTGATTTCATTATCGATTGATTTAATAATAATTTTTAAAATGATATATAATATTAAAACCAAAATCTAATAGTCCGTAGATGTAATAATTTATAATAATAAAATTTGTATAATATTTATTTAATATATTTTTTGAAATAAAATATATTAGATATCGTTGAGTTATATACAAATGATCATTTTCGTTAATAAAGTTTAAAAAATTATAAAATACTTATTAAATGTATTAAAAGATCATTTTATTTATATTTCAGTTTATTTTAACAGTATGCGGACGTTAAAAAACAAACAGTCTTCTTCTTGCAGACTGCAGACTTTTGGTTCACTTCTTCTGCTGCAGATGCTTGCATATGTGATCCGCAAACTGCAGACCTTTTACATCTGCAAAAACAAACAGCACCTAAGTAGCATCAATGTCGTTTTTTTTTAAAATGCATCAATATCGTTTTGTCTACGTTTAAACCATACGTTTTTATATATATTGTTAAAAAAATATTTATACATAAATTATATAAAATTTAATTTATACTTTATTTATTTTAGTATCATTTACTTTGTCTAAAATTTGAGTTTTCTAATCTAAGAATTATAATTTAAAATTTTAAAATTTAATATAATATTAAATTTTATACAATTAATATATCAAATATGTTGTATAGATTATATTAAACTTTAAATTTAATCTGCCAAGTAAATTGATAAAAATACTTGGATATTGTTATGAGAAAAAAATTATCTAGGTTATGAAAGGATTATTTTATCAAGTAATGTGATTGTTACCGCGTACAGTACATCGAAAGATGTTCAAACAATACGACATCTTCGTAAAAACATTGGGATGATATTGCCTTCTCCCTAGTTGCATATATATTCGAAAGCTTTTAGCGCTACAACCTTATCAAATGCGATCATTTGGGTGTCTTTATAAATGAATAGTGTCATATGAACATCTTTTGATATATACTGTAATAATCATATTTGATCATAAAATAATTGTCTCACACATTAGATGGAAAACTTTTTTATATATAAAAATTAAAAAAATCAAATGATATTGATAGTAAAAATTGCTATTATTTTATAAGTTATCGGATTCGAACATAAAAATGTAAAGGGGGTAATAGTTTAATGTGAAATTGTTGAAAATATTATCTCATAATTACTCAATATTAATTGAAACAATTTAAAAAAAAAACAGAAATTGAACAGACATGAATCGTCACATGATTAGGATCTATCATAAGTCAAAAATAAAGATACGCCAATTCACCGTCGTCATCCTTTGATCAAAAGATGATGTCCTCATCCCACTTACACATCGGTTCCTCTACTGTCTCCACACGGTTACTCCCCTGCACCCCCAATTCTTTCCCTATAATGACCCGGCATCCCATTCATATTTTTCCCACCAATGCCACGGCATCTCCAACATAAATATTTTCCAATAATTTAATTATATATTTATTTTGATTAATCAATCTATCCAGGCTTTGTATTTTTTTATAAGAGTTTACTTAAAAAATGGTTATAGATGAAATAATTAAAATTTTATATATTAATCGCGTTCGATGCTTAACAATATTGGAGTCTGAAATATTAATAATGAGGTGAACACAGTAAGCTCCAATCTCACCAATGATACTCAATTAACAACTGATTTCAACCTAACATAATCCAAATCCAATACTAAAATCCACAAATTACATTCAATATTTGTTCGATATAAAATCACTTTTCTATTCAATAACATCTTCAACATTTCCAAAATAAATTCTCAAATTCTTTATGTTATCATCTTCATCACTAATCCACTTAACTTTCACAAACTTTACATTTTAACCACAACTTATGAATTCTTTTATAATTCATCCAAAAATTTTCAATTAATTCAAAATGGTCCTTCACCATTTTGTTCAATTCAAATCGATTATTAAAATCTCTAGCATTGAAATAACATATTCAATCTAGTTCTTCCACTTTTGCAAACTTGCAATTAAATCCCAAACTTCTTAACCATATTCAAACTTAAAATTCAGCATCCAAGTATTAATTTCTAGCATTAAACACTCAGAATTGCACTTGTACACATCAATGTCCCATAGTTCCAAAAAACTTGCAAAATGGTCCTTTTACTATCACAATGGTCCAAATTAATCCAAATCAAATTCCAAGCATGTAAAATTCCTCTAATATCAATTATAGACTATAGGAAATTTTGGAATATTTTCCCCGTATTTTTCTTCACGTGGCTGAACCTACTTAGTGCAATAGGACTTGATTTTCATTCAATTTCAAGCATGAATTCAACTTCCTATGATCAAATCCTTGCTATTCTAATAATACCAACCTCAAATTCAAACCAAATGTAATCATCCTAACCTCAAATTCGATCAATTTGTAGTGTCAGGATATGAATTATACAGGGATATAAATGTACCTAATTAGCATGTATGGTTGGTTCAACTTGTACTGTCAGGATATGGATTACACAGGAATATAATTGTACTTAATAAACTGGGCATGGTTCGATTCGTGATTGCATAATTGAAATTCATTGAAAAAGATTTGAAATTAAGGTAAAATATTACATGGGTAAAATATTTATTAAAAGCTTTGAAATTAAGATGCAAATTGCATCAAGCTAAAGTAGATGGAAATGTATGGTGATTCATGTGTGTTTGTATGTGTCGCATGGACTCTAATACGTCACCTTCATTACTGTAGCAATTATCCTATTTAAAAAAAATAATCTAATGCAAATATTATTCGAGCCGTTAAAAAATTTAGCCTCCCAGAAATGCTAAGTGCTAACAGTTCAGATTTTGTATCAATAATAAATCCAACACCTATCCAGTCAAACAATCTAATCTTTTCATGCTAAGCTGACGTCACGTAATCCAACGGCTATAAACCCATGGATGGAGTTCCCCTATTACGCACTATTAATGCCTATTACCGTCAATAATCCTATCCCCGGATTCTGGATTTTCCAATCCTCTTTTACTCCACCCACAATCATGACCCCTCTTCTCTTCCCTCTTGATTGCTTATGCGTAGAGCCTAGATACCCAATTGGGGTTTAGGGTTGTTTTAGACATTTCGAGTCCTATCAAATCACCTTTAGTCACACCTCTAGTTTCATTAGAATATTCTTATAATCTTATGCTTTAAATGAGCATACTTTTATTTTCAAGATCGTGGTGTCACGTTTTTGTCCTTGCCACCAAGTAAACATTTGTTGTACTGTAAATTACAACGGAGTTGAAGAATGAAACGGTAATCGAGCAAGAGATAGGGGAACGTAAATATTACGGATTACGGTCTCATCGACAATGACAGGAACATCTTCAAATCCAAAATAAGATCTGATTACACCATTGATTAATGTATATTTAAATAATATCTTTTTATTTTATTAAATCACTTAAATAAATTCCTTGTCTTTATTATTCGTTAATAACTTTTTTATAGAAGATTTAACTTTTTAATCTTTTAACCTCTGGGCATATTTTTTCTTACCTTTGTAAATTTCAGAAAGAAGATTATCTATAAATATTTGGAATTTGATATTTAGTGCTACTATATAATAATCTTAAAATCTTATCAGTAATAATGAATACCATATATAATTATAAGTACTTTGGGAGTAAATAAAGTAATAATTATCTCAATCGACGTGTCAAAATCTCGTGCCTTGTTCTATGCCGTTGTGTTTGCATCATTTGTATAAGTTGGTTCGATGCTTTATTCAGGTATTAAAATATATATTTACCTTGTTTTTAATTAGCTAATAATATTTGGGTTTTCCTCCTCCTCTCTCTCTCTCTCTATATATATATATATATGTAGTTAAAGTTGCGGTCATTTATAGAACTCTGAATATCCGTCTTCCTCATCGACTCTACCGCCTAAAATGCAAAGCCCTGCCATGGTACATTACCCTTCTCTTCAAACCGTTATGTTCTTCAATACGCCTGTGGCGTCTGAAGCGCCTTGGCCTTACAATCGTCCCGAGGGCTTGTCCCAAATCCCGTCTTGTTCATCAATGATATCCCCGACCCATTTTCACAAGCGAAACTGTCAACCCTTTTGCACTGAATACACCGGTGTTTTCTCATCTAATGTCTTTGATAAGGATAGTGATAATGAACCTGAACCTGAAATCGAAACCGGTCCCGAAGTGCCTCCAATTCTCGATGGGATAGCTGCCGTGGTTGGCCAGCACGTTCTATTTGGTGACAAGACCAACCCCGTTGTTCACAACCACAGCAACGGTAGCGATGGGTCAGGCTTCGTTTCTGTGTCGCAACGTTTCGGGGCTAACAAGAGAGACCCAAGTGGCAGTGTGCCACTGCAGAAAAGCTACAGAGGTGTGAGAAAGAGGCCATGGGGGAGGTGGTCAGCGGAGATACGCGACCGTGTTGGGCGGTGTAGGCATTGGCTGGGCACGTTCGACACGGCGGAGGAAGCAGCGCGTGCATATGATGCAGCGGCGAGGAGGCTGAGAGGGTCGAAAGCCAAGACCAACTTTGAAATTGCTTCGGCTTTGCCAGCTCTCTCATCACGCTCCACCTCGTCGTCATCTTCGGAGGCAAAGAAGATCAAAGGCAAGGCTAAAACGGAGAGGAAATGCGCGGTGGTCACCTCCGTTGACCAGCTGTTCAGTTGCGATAGTAGGCTTGGTGGAAATGAAGGGAAAAGGAAGTTGGAATTGGACTTGAAGCTAGGTGTGGGACATATTAGCAAGGGTACTACGCTAAATAAATAAAGTTGCAGTTTCTTACTTCTGTTCTTCGTTTAACCTTGTTTAACTGAAACTGCAAAGATACATTTTGTTATACTTTTTCATGGTGAATTGAAGCGAAGGTTCTTTTCTGGGTTGTAGGTCAAAATGTAGGAAGATATATAGTAGTAAATTTAATGTGATGATCATTTTTATGGTTTTGGAATTTCCCAGAAACAAAGATATGGAATGTATGTTGTAATTGTTTCTTTTTAAAGCTATCCCGATGTTGCAGTATTTTCATGTTGTTTGTGATGGTGGAAATGAATTATTTTTCCTTTTGATTCGTAAGTTAATTCAGCTTCTGGAGAAAGACTACATAAAGCTGAAAGAATGGCAAGGTAGGCATCATTATTAGCAGTACGAAATGTAGCCCAGTCTGAAGAAAAAGGCTACATATCCTTCGGAATAGCCCACCTGGGAGACTCGGATTTTCAGGATTTTATTATTTACTCCACCATATCATCATCTGTAGAGATCAATTATGAGAGTTGCATTTATTTACTGACGTCATCATTTTAATTTCTTCTTTTGTAACTTCATGTTACAGCAAGTATTATAACGATAAAATAAAACTAGTGGTAACATATGGTTGTATAATGACAGGTAATGTTGACAATCAGACCAAGTGAAATGTTCTACTCTCGCCTTTGACTTGTATGCTAATAAACCGGGAAGCAGTACGATATTTTAATATAAAGTTAAAATAAATAGTTATCAATTTTGTTATTATTTAAATAATAAAATCAGTAAAAAATGATCGAAAATATTATTATGAGTTTCGATGTTATATTATAAAATTACCTATTACATTATAATTATGAGTTTTGATGTTTTTGGGATCGATACTTTTTAAAAATGTATCGACACTTTATGAGTGCACCCGTCTGGCATTCATTATGGACAAAATATATCGACACAAATTTAATAAGAATCGATACTTTATGATGACATATTTTCTCATAAAACCGGTATATTTATATACCAGTTACATTGTAAATTTACATATTACATTATAATTATCGGTTTCGATTTTATTGGGATCAATACTTTTAATAATTGTATCGACACTTTATGCGTGCACCCCGTTTGGGCATTTATTCTGGACAATAAGTATCGACATAAATTAAACAAGTGTCGATACATTATGTTTACCTGTTTTCTAATTAACCGGTATATTTATATCGGTTACATTGTTAATGTACCTATTACATTATAATTATTGGTTTCGATGATTTTTGGGTCGATACTTTTAGAAAATGCATCGACACATATTTATGTAGTTATTGTACACACCTAAATATGTCACGCGAATTTAATGTTGTACCCACCCTTCAACTACCACTACCAATACCACATTCTATTGAAAGCATGACTGAAACATGTTGAATGAACCTTTACTTACATCTCCATCAACTTCGAGACCACTGAACTTGCACAACAAAATTTTTGCCATGGATCATACTGATGCATACAATGTTAAGCCAACCGAGGAATGCCATGAAGTACATAACGTGATCAAGCTTGGTACTTTTACAAGGGATTCGCACGGGAACATGAGTTTAGTGCACGTAAGGGAACAACATGGCTTGACGTGGAAGGGAATCTGAAGAAGCAAGAATTTTGTTGTTCCAAATAAGGGTTTCGAGAATCAAAAGCCAATACTGTTGATCGTCAACGTGCTCATACGCCAGACATAAGAACAGGTTGCAAGGCTAGAGTCGTAGTTACAACAACAAATACAAACGATCACTGGGTTATAAGTAAGTCTTATCAGAAACATAATCATGCATTGTGCACACCTATTATGACACCATTTATGCATTCTAATAGAGCTGTAAGTAAGGTTGATATCGAAGAGGCAACAACATTGAAAGAGGTCGGTGTTGACACGTCACAAGTAATGAACTATTTAACGCAGCAGGCAGGGGGCTATCATAATGTTGGATTTACACATAAAGACCTCTACAATGCACTTCAAAGAGGTAAAGCAAAGGAAATCATCGATGGAGATATGAATGCGCTTATTGCTTACTTTGATTATAAGAAACATGATGATCCCGAGTCTTTTATGACATACTCGGTAGACGAATCAGGGGCATTGCATAATCTTATTTGGTCGGATTCTACATTTAGATCAGATTACACATGCTTCGGTGATGTAATTGCGTTCGACACAACGTACAAAGATAATTTGTATGGTCGACCAATTATGCCTATTGTCGGTGTCAATCATCACCATAACACAATTGTGTTTGCCACTGCCATAATCTCTGACGAGACGTCCGAATCTTTCGAGTGGGTGCTACAGAATTTTTTAGAAGCCATGAAGAATAAATCGCCTATTTCAGTTGTCACCGATGGGGATAGGGCAATGCAGAGGGCTATCAAATCTATTATCCCTTATGCTAAGCACATATTATGTTCTTGGCATCTTTCTCACAATACACAAGCTAACATTGGTGACCCAAAATTTACAGCAGCATTCTCAAAATGCATGGTTTCCTGGTGGACAACTAAGGAATTCGATGTTCAATGGCGTTTGGTTGTTTCAGAATTCAACGTCGAAAAGTATCCATGGGTGATTGAGAAGGGAAATATTCGGCACGTATAGGCCCAAGCATATCTAACCGGTCATTTCTTTGCCAATATTCACTCAGCACAAAGGTGCGAGTCTATGAATGCTTCACTAGCGATTGCACTGAAACACAAGAAGACATATTTAGATGTTGTTCACGCAATTGAAGATGGAATTAGGAGAATGCGTATGAACGAGTTGAAAGCGGATTACTTAAGTTCCCAGACAAAGCCCTTCCAGATCATAAAACTGGTCGAACTTGAAAGCCATGATGCTGAGATTTTTACCCGCGAATCTTTTCGTGCGTTCCAAGATGAACTTCAACGGGAGACATTGTACCGGATTGAGGAAGAGATTCAGTCCTTATCAGATGAATGTCAACATTATATTTTGACAAAATATAAAGAAAAAAATAGAACATTTGAAATTAGTTTTGATTCTCGTACGGAAACCCTAATTTGTTCTTACAAAAAATTCAAGACCGTTGGACTTCCGCGTCGCCATCAACTTCACATTTTGAAGCACTTGGATTATACATATTTTCCCGGGACTTTGATTCAAAGTAGGTGGACTAAGGATGCGAAGGCTTCTGCACCCAGTTATGTTGACTTGAATGTGCCTCCAGAAGTGATGCAAATGGCAAGGTTTGCTGCTCTACATTCAACGTCAAGTAGGTTATGCTACATTGCATCAAAGACATATGCGTCTTTAAAAACCGCAAGATATGAGATGAAAAGACTAATAGAAGAATTTGAAAACTCGTTTGGTTTGAATAATTCAGTCAACCAGAGCAGTGTAGTAAACAACTTCACGACCCTCAACGAAAACAACGCAAGCAAAAAGAAGTACCGAAGAACAAGGTCGAGAAGAAAATTAGGCGATTTGGGTACTGCAACGGTGAAGGACATAACAAACTAACATGTCCTCAAGTGAAGCTCAGTTTGAATACAAGCACACAGCTTACATCAACTGATTTTTTCGAAGACAGAATGAAATGGCCATTCAGTCATGCACATGATGAAAACAATCTCCATATATCGTAAGTATCAACATGACTCCTATTGTGTATAAGAAACATGTACAACAACCTATTGCTAAATTTTCTCATCTAATACATAATTACATTCACATACATAAGCCTGTAAACGAACCGAACGCACACGAACGAAGGTATGTTCATGTTCGTTCATTTAATAAATAAACGAACATAAACGAACACGAACATAAACGAACAAATTTTTTTTTGTTCATGTTCGTTTATTAAGGAATATAACATGTTCATGTTCGTTCATTTAATAAATAAACGAATATAAACGAACACGAACATAAACGAACACGAACATAAATGAACACGAACATAAACGAACATAAACGTTGGAGGCCCTACCTTCCATTGTTCTTTCATGAAAAATAGTCGACAATGCAAATCAACCAAATCTACAGTGATAAATAGCGTAAGAGCTTATTAGCAGTGATGAAATGTTTGAAGATATCAAATATTTTGATCGATCTTTTAAAGATATTAAATGATTCACAGGACTTTAATTTAACGCTATAACATTTATCTTAGTGTTCCATGATTACATATGAACAATCATTTTCCGCTATTACACTCTTTTTAAGAAATTGCATAGAAACCTTTGTTTTGTTTTCTGACAAATTCTATATATTTTTCTTTTTACTGATGCTCATATACTTCCGATTTTTACCTTTATCTTCCCATCTATTTCTAGAAAGAAGTATTATTTTTTCTTGAGTTTTAGATGTGAAGATACCCACAATAACTTTACATATCAACTATTAAGTCAAATAAAACAGAGAAAGAGATGAAAACAGACCTGTAAAACTTCATATTGCACTATAATATAATTTGTTTTGAATCTTTCAGAGATCGTCTCCACTCTCCAGTGAACAATAAGGTTTGGGAAAAAAGGGGGAAATGAATATAAGTGCGAGGTGCCTCACAGGTTAACATATTGGATTTAATCTCCAAATAAAATTGGGTTAATTATAGAGTTGGTCATCAGAATATCAGATTAATATTTTTAAGATACTTACAAATTGGTCACCAAAATTGATTTAAGAAGATTGTGTTAAACATAAATGAATGAACATAAACGAACATAATCGAACGAACATAAACGAACATAACCAAACGAACATAACTGAATGTTCACGAACGTAAATGAATGAACGAGACCTATGTTCATGTTTGTTCATTTAATTAAACGAACAAAAAATATTGTTCATGTTCGTTCATTTAATAAATAAACGCACATAAACGAACTTCCCGCCGCACGGTTCATGAACGGTTCGTTGAACGTTCAGTTCATTTACAGGCCTACACATACAAAATTATAAATAACTTATACAAAATTAACCCTACATTAATAAAATTTCCTCTCTT